TTTATAGTACCTAATAAGGTATGTGATGACATTTTTGTAGTACACGCATGTGTTGGTTAAATTTTATGTCAATTTGATACACCTGTGTTGGGGATGATGTGGTAGTCACCTAATCTGGTGTCAATTTGAGGATTAAGAGTATAGGGCTGGAGTGTAGACAGATTGAAGAGGGTAGGGGTGGAGTCTAGGCTGTCAGTCTGGAGATAGCCAATGAGACTTTTGTGGGTATGGCCTTCTGAGAATTCTGGGAAATCTGGTACTTCCTCCTGGGAGGTGGGAGACACCTCCTTCTCTCTGCTACTTCCTGTGAGGCATTGCAGAAGACAAGCCACATGGATGCAACTAGACCTTGGAAGCTGGGGAAGCCACAGAGAGGCCCCTGCCAGCACTGAGATGCTTACACTGCCACTGAATCCAAAGACTTTCTATTCACTTTCTAGTCATCTTCTACTTTCGGCGTCATTGCATGTGTTTCATGAGTCTGAAGAGGACTTTATAGATTGATATCAGAAATATGGGCTAATATCAGACTTATGGACTTGATCTGGACTGGGATGTTTTCTCAATGTTCAATTGCTCTTGTATATAAATCTCTTTCTTATATACACATGTGTGTGTTCGTGGATTTGTTTCTCTAGTCTACCCAGACTAACACATTATGGTACCTTGGGAGTGGGGTCCTGGAGAAACAAATCATTAAAGATGGAGAGTGAATGTTTGTTTAACCTCTCCCTCATGGTATGCTTCTTCTTTTGGCTAGCCAGAAGATACATACATCCTTGCAGTTAACTGAGTTGTTTTCTGGAAAGATTATGGGAAGTTAAAGCTTTGATTATTTTTGTTTGGTTGTAGTCTTTGGTTATTCCTGTGTGAAATGATAAAAATTAATGTTGTTAATGTATATTTTGAGCTTGGAGGTAGAAATGACCATTTGAACTTATCAGAAACCATGCTGCTTAAGGAAAATGGCTGACAGAAGGTCAAAATGGCTGGCAGATAGCCTGACTCTGGCTTGATACTCTCAAGAGGCCTAGTCCCATATTTTTTTATAAATAGAATAGTTTAGATAAGGATTTAGATAAGCTAAATAAGGATTGAATTTGACAGTTTTAAGAATTGAGTTTAGAATCTCATTCTACTTAGTTTATACTGATTTTCTTTATTAGTATTGATATAATGATTGATAAAATGTTTACTGGGAAGTATGAAAGTATAGAGTTTGTAAACCCACTTGCCTCAAGCCATTAATTTGATCTTTAGATGGGTTTAGGCCACGCCTGGAAAGAAGGCTCTGAGAAGATAAGCCCCACCAGTACTTTGGAGTACTCAGGACATTTGCATTCCAAGAGACTTGCCTGGGGCAAGCTTGACAGGTTGAAGATTTAAAAAAAAAAAGGAACTCTTTGAATTTGAAGTTTGAACTCTAGTGGTTTTTGTCAGAAGCTGGAAAAAATCTGGAACCATGAAGAAAACTCCTCTCTGGGACTGAATGTTAAAGGAAGCCTGTGGGCAGACTGTAATGCTTGCTAGGTGACTACCTGGATTCACTTGTTGAGTGGAAGTGGGAGAAATGCAGCAATAAAGAAACTGGTTGAGTGTGGCCACTGATACCCGTGGACCTGGTTTACAGGAACTAGAGGAGAAGATGACAGTGGGTTGACTGGTCTGAAGTTCATGACCTAGCACAAGGGGCTAGGGTTGTTGAGAATTTGTGATGGGGCCATGGCCTAAGGCAAGGTGACCAATGGACACCCTGGTGAGAGTAAGTGAGGCAGCCCACATAGAGTTGATCAGAACCCGACCAGATGAAGAGATTTTTGAGCCTGTGAACTGGTGCATATTGCTGTTGACTTTATGGATGGCCTGTCCTGATTTGATTTTGCTTATGGATGCAGACTTCACAAGGTTCCAACTGGAATGAAGATTCTTCACATGAAAGAATATAATTGTTTCCTCAGAGCACTGGATTGATGTAAATGGGCAATATAGAAATTGGATACCCAAAGGGTGGAATAACGGCATGAAATGGTTGGCTTACAAACTTTCATAAGTGGGGGAATATATTCATAGGATTATAGGATTAAGGTGTAGGTGTTACTTAACTGCAATTGCTAGGCATAGGATATTTTTTGTTATGTTCTTATAGAATGTTATGTTTAAATGTGTGGCACATATTGAATTGTATGCTTTTTAGTTTTATCCTACTAAGTATAGATACGATTTTATTATTGTTTGAGAACCATATATGGCTGAAGAGTTATGTGAAAGCGTAAATTGACAAGGGGTGGTCTGTGGTAGTCACTTAATCTGGTGTCAATTTGAGGATTAAGAGGGTAGGGGTGGAATCTAGGCTGTCAATCTGGAGATAGCCAATGAGACTTCGGATCCTCAACCAACCAAAGGCGCTGAAAAATAAAGTATTAACTGCTAGTTTAAGCTTCACGTTAACGAGGAAGAACACTCACGGTTTTGATCCCTTTCCTGTTTTGCATTCGGCTCCTCCCTTCCTTACCCTTACTTGCCGAAACAAGGAAGTAAAAAAACAAAACCAGAGACCCTTTAAAATATTATATTTTCAAGGCTCTTGCGAACTCCGGCGCTGCGGTTTGGACACAGCACAGGAGGAAGTGCCCACTTCCCTGTCGGTAGCATTCCAGGCAAGGCTTTCCAGTCGCTTTCAGATTTACAGCTTTGTGAACTTTCCCAGAGTTCCTCCTTGGAAGCCCACAGGG